TTTATATAAATATTAACATATATATATATACATATATTATATAAGTAATACACATAATATTATTTCACTTAACTACTAATATGATCAATTACAAGTTAGATGTCATTTTCTTAGAAAATACTGACCTGGAAAAGTTTAAAGTAATAACAGAATATGTCATCACCCATGAGATTATTTCTTGCAAATTCTTGTCCTGTTTTTGCTATCTTCTTTGCCTACGGGACCAACAACAAAAAAATCCTTTCATGAAACATTTTTTCCCCATGCAGACATAGGAAAACTGATCTTCAGAGTACATTTTAGTGGGAAAAATATCTTTGGGGTTAGTCTTTCCTGGTACAGGGAACAGTTAACAGAGTATGTTTGTTTTAATTAAAAGGAGGTTTTTAAGACTTGAGAGTTTGAGAAGTCATATTAAACCTTCTAGAATTAAGTCTCTCTTGGAGAGAAAGGGTATACATTAAATGAAGTAATAATGACTTTGTAAAGTAAATGTAGGATTAAGCTTAATGCGCTACCTTATAATTTTTCAGAAATGATTTCAAAGTTTATTTCATGCAATCCCTAATTTTTTAAGCTTGATTTTATTTAAAAAAAATCTTTATTGTTGAAAGTATTACATATGTCCTCTTTTTCCTCCGATTGACCCACTCCGGCCCACACCCAACCCCCCTTCCTGCCCCAGGCCTTCCCACCCCACTAACTGCATCCATGGGTTATGCATACAAGGTCTTTGGTTGATTACCTTCCACCCACTCACACTTCCCTTCCTTCCCTCTGAGATTCTACACTCTGTTCTATGCTTTCATGTCTCTGGATCCACTCCGTTCATCAGTTTATTTTGTTAATTAGATTCCATATATGCGTGAAATCATATGATACTTGTCTTTCTCTGACTAACTTATTTCACTTAGCATGATACTCTCCAGGTCCCTCCATGCTGTCTCAAAGGGTAAGAGATTCTTCTTTTTTACTGGTGCATAGTATTCCATGGTGTAAATGTACCATAGCTTTTTTATCCACTCATCTACTAATGGGCACTTGGGCTGTTTCCAGATCTTAGCTATTGTAAATTGTGTTACTATGAACATAGGGGTGCATACATTCTTTATGATTTGGTGTTTCGGGTTTCTTAGGATATATTTTTAGAAGTAGGTTCACTGGGTCAAATGGCAGTTCCATATTTAATTTTTTGAGGAAACTCCGTACTGTTTTCCATAATGGCTGCACCAGCCTGCATTTCCACCAGCAGTGTACTAGGGTTCCTTTTTCTCCACATCCTCCAATCCCTCATTTTAATCCATAGCACAGTTAGTTTTCCCTCTATCAGGCTAGCTTTCTTATGTTCCTAGCAGAAGTGAGGGAGTGCTAGAGGCTCAGATCAACTTGACTAAAAGAGAAAGCATAGTCAAAGCCAAGGTTTAGCTTTTTGTTTCATGTGCAGACTAGACAGTTAAACCAAGCCACAATACCTGTGTTCATCCTGAATGGAACTGGGTTACCCATGGGACTTCCTATTTATAGGTAAAGGTCTATTCTGAGCCGACTGAGCAGACATTTAAAATGAAGCTATGAGCCTGGCCAGCATGGCTCAGTGGTTGAGCATTGACCTATGAACCAGGAGGTCACAGTTCGATTTCCAGTCAGGGCATATGCCCGGGTTGCGGGCTCGATCCCCATTGCGGGGCTTGCAGGAGGCAGCCAATCAATGATTCTCTCTCATCACTGATGTTTCTATCTCTCTCTCCCTCTCTGAAATCAATAAAAATATATTTTAAAAATAAATAAAGGAGGCTATGATATTGGGGTACAAGGAGACTGACCTTACCTCTTCATCGTGATCTTTTGCCCAGTTAAGTTTTTCTAAAAGATCGCTCAGGTTGCTTTTAACAGGAATGTAATGTTTCCAGGGCTGCAGCTCATTGTAAAAGTGTTCATAGTAGATGGAGTCCTGCTTCAGCACAACACTGTCGCCGACTAGAAGATATGGCAGGCGATATGCTGCGACAGTGCCATCAACGTTTATTTGATACTTGTGCTGTGAAACAGCAGTAAAACGTAAGAACCTCTATTACATTTCCTTTTTTTCTATTCTCATTATTCTCCTCCCCTTTCCACACAAAGAGCCTCACTGTCTTCAGATATAAACTGGCCAGATTTTGCCCACTGCTTTCACCATGTAGTAACTGCTATTATATAACGTGCTGATCTAGAGTTGAAGGCTTATTTTGATGCTCTCCTAAGTTTCACAGACCACAAGTCTAATGTTGAAGCAGCCAATAAAATAATAAATAACTGTTGTCCTCAGGCTACAACCTAAAGAAAGATTGATTTATGGTGACTGTAATTTCCCTATTACTTAATTAATCTCATGTGAGCACCTGCTGATGGCACATTCTATACCATGTTAACCATACCTTTTAAACATTAGGTGGCCACACACAAGTCTTAAGGAAATTAACAAGCTCTGAGGCAAGTACATCTCTGAATAAAAATATTCATAGCATTGTGTTAATCAATAGTCTTTAGCTCTAGCAAATTCAGTAGATAGGAATAAAGCAAAGGCATGACAGAATACCCTGAGGATGGATGGCTGGTATTAGCTCTCTTTGGTTTTAACCATATTTCAAAAATCTCTATGATATGCGTATGGAAACAATGACAACTCAACTTAGGGAATTCTTTAGGTCTACCTGCTGCCATGTGACCCATCAACAACAAAAAACAAACTTGGCCATATACAGCAGAGACAGAGCTCACTAATCACTTGTCTTACCCACCTTTCTCACCACCACATGGGACTTCAAAAACAACTCATTGGTCTAGAGAACAGGGCAGTGTCCTACTGCGTGAGAAGTGGAGTTGCTGGAAAAAGGATCACTCCCTGGGAAACATGAGCAGTACACCTTCTAGTTACAGAAAGAATTCCCACGCAGACCATTTGGATGGATTTCAAGTCATTTCCCCACCAGAGGCCTATTAAGAGACACCTGGTTTACATCTTCTTTAGTCTGTTGTCAAGCTATGGCTCTGGGAAGAAGTATTTGTAAAACCACTTACATGTATCTATTAATAAAAAAAGATTTTTGAGCTGAAATGTATTATCTTGGGGGTCAACTGGGGTGAAAAATTATAGCTCTCCCCGGGCCCCAAGCTCCCTAATATATATTTAATGTCAGGGCTGGGTACTGAGTACAGACCCAGGCTGCCGAACCAGTCCCTGGGGTCTCATGCCCTGAGAGTCACTGAGTTTAATGCTCATCTCTCCCGTCCCTGTAAGTTATAGGCCTCAATTTCTCTCCCCGAAATGAAGATACAGTATTCCCTTGAACAACATGGGGTTTAGGGACACGGACTCCCCCCCCAACTCCAGCACTGTCAAAATCATGCATATAACTTCTTCTTTTTCCTTCTTCTTCTTTTTTTTTCTCTAACTTTTGATTCCCCCCAAACAGTTGTCCCTTTGTATCCATGGAGGATTGGTTCCAGGACCCCCACAGATACCAAAATCCACAGGTGATCAAGTTCCTTATATAAAATGGCAAAGATCAATGCACGTAGCCGGCCATCCGCATCTGCGGATTCCCACCCTCACATAAAAATACTGTTTTTGATCTGCAGTTGACTGGATCCATGGATTCAAAAGCTGGAGAAATAGAGGGCTGACTGTATATTGAGAAAAACCAGCCTGTAAATGGGTCTGTGCCGTTCAACCCCATGTCGTTCAAGGGTCAACTGTATTTGGAAAAACAAAAAAGGATTGGTCACAGATGAGGCCATACCTTGAAGAAATCAAAAAATGAAATGTGTTTCACAATGGGACCATAGAGGCTTTCATCGTGTTTAAAGAAGAAAAAGTTGGTGAAGGCAGCATCTATGAGCTCTGGGTGTTTTCTGCTGAGTTTAACCAGCTCAAGTCTCTCTTTTCGGCTGTCTCGGCCTCTCCAGACAGCTGTGGAGTTTTTGCTTTCCCAGGGAGGACCCGTGTTAGCTTGCACAGACATCATATCCAGACTTACTCTGGAAGACAGAAAGTACAACACATTTGCCCTCCAAACCATCACATCACAAAGGTTGTTGGGAAAGAACTCACCAAGGGGGGAAAAACCAAGGCTCTGGGTCACGTGTGACCCGTCTCTCACCGGCCCATGGTTTCTAGAACAGAGTCCGTCAGGTCGTAGGTGGGCATCACGATATCCCTGGAATCTGTGGAGCCACACCAGGAAAAGATCGGATGAATGTGTGGACTGGATTTCTTTTTCTCCAAAGGCCAATCTCCCAAATTAACAAAAAACTCCACATCAGGCATCCTCACCTAGGACAAAGAAAAGAGCTTACTAACACGTCTGGCACTGTATAATGCCTTCTATTGATCAATGTGTGTCCTTGTAAAAAGAGGTGAGGACATACAGGGACAATGGCTTGTGAGGACAGAGACTAGAGCGATGCAGCTGCAAACCAAGGAATGCCAAGCATTGCTGGGCACCGCCAGAAGTCAGGAAGAGCCGAGAAGGGTTCTCCTCTGTGGGTTTCAGAGGAAGCACAGCCCTGCTGGCACCTTGATTTTGGACGTCTAGTCTCCAGAACTGTGAAAGAATAAATTTCTGTTGTTTAAGGCCACCCAGTTTGTAGTAGTTTATTACAGCAGCCCTAGGAAATTAACACAGGCACCCCACAAGACATAAAGCTTCAGAATAGTATTAGAATAAGGCCCATATAGGACACCTCTGATATGATTATTATTTTTAGTTTGAAAAATTATATTTTAAAACCTGGGCTTAATTAGAGGGCTGACTGTATATTGAGAAAAAAATGTATATTTTATATAAAAGAAATACTTACTTTTCTAGTCAAAGAAAGTAGTATGGCATCCATGAAAATTCTAAAACCTACATGTTCACCATGAGTCTTGATATAAACCTGAAAGGTAATTGAATGTTTATTACATTAGTCTAAAAGTATTGGCAGGCTTCACTGAGATAAAGGTTATCAGAATGATCCTCAGATGATTTTTAGTAAAGCTAGTTGTAGCCAAATGGTCAAAATAAAAAATCACTAAGACAGACAAGCAAACCTCAAGCACAAATTGTACCTTGTTATCCTTCACGGTATAGTGACACAAGCTCTGCCTTTGTCCAAATCTCTTTGGGATTTCTTCTGCAATCTTTTCTGGATCAACAGTAGGGAAATGCACCAGATCTCTCTGAATCTGAGCGATGGTTTCTGGGCAGTTCATCTCCTGTAGCCAGGCTGCGCTATCTTCCAAAGGACAATCACAATTCTCATGGTAAACCGGCCCTAATTACACACAAGCAACATATTATACAGTAATAATTTCACTCAGCATTTGAAACATGTAACCAATATCCATTATCCACAATCGACTTCACAGATTTTGCCGAGGTTATTAGGAAGGGTATTTTGTCTTCTGTTCTGACAGCTCTTCACAGTAAGGTCGTGATATTTTCACAGTCAGGCCTGTTTCGCACGAGTTCTAAAGAAAGCCAATAGCAACTAATTTTTGCTCACAGTGGCTATTATAGTCCATTATTTTTTATGTTTTGTGTACTTAAAAAATAAGCAAACATTTATAAAAATATATTAAAGGAGTATGTCTTTTTTGATGAAAGACAAAAGTGATATAAAATTAATATTTCAATGATCTCTTATAAAAAACAGTTTTTTAAAGTGTCTAAGGTGTTTTCCTCAATGAGTAAATCATCATCAATAACAATATAAGTAAACAAAGAACCATTACTATGTTTGTTTGTTTTAAGAATTATACAAAAACAAGAGCAATCTTCAAAACAGTTCATTCAGCCCAGCTGGTGTGGGTAAGTGGTTGAGCATCTATGAACCAGGAGGTCATAGTTTGATTCCCATTCAGGCTCAGTTGCAGGCTCAGTACCCAGTAGGGGACGTGCTGGAGGCAGCAGATCAATGATTCTCTCTCTCCTTTATGAAAAAAAAAAGTTCATTCATATTGTAATTAATTAATTATATGTTTATAGAAATAATACTAACAAAATATAGCAGAATCTGAATTGAGATTTTACTGTCATTCCTTTCTATAATTTTCAGATTCCCACCTGACCCAGGCAGTAGTCAACAATGGAATATTTTTTAAGGTTTATATTGTACCATGTGGTCCTGGTGTAATGTGGGAAATATTTTTAAAACATTTGCCTTTATTGGAGGTGGGGAACAAGAAAAATTTGTGTCTCTGTATATACACTGCTTTTCCACTGTGTTAGGGTACTATCTCCATTGATATGGAAAGATATGGCTCTAGGTAATGCAGCT